TTATGAAGAAAGAGACTAACCTTTAGAAGTGACAAGCACTGACTCCGACCTCGTTTCACTCATGGGCCGCTTCCTAAACTTTGCAGTAAAATCTGGTGGCAGAGAAAACTCTACAGCATCCAATGTGCACAAAATCTTTGTCAAATCCGTCAAATTTATTGTTTCGACCACTTTTTTTGTAGCTGTCAATACTAAATACAATTCATAAATAGTCAAAATGAATTGACGTTTGACTAACATCGGGATTTCAATTTTATTAAGATACCAAGGAACTGCATGTGATTAAGACTGCTCTGCCCATAATATTAAAACTATAAAACATAAAGATATCTCAATGAATTAAAAGTGAAAAACATTGTATTCCAATAACTTTTTCCAGAAATTGGAGCACTTGCATTAAGCAATGAATATAAAAATTTTCACGATCACAGACAGTAATATTGTATATAATAAACGTTATTGCAATAAGAACCAAAAAACGTCATTTAAAGATTCAAATTTTAAGTACAAACACTTCGTGCCTTTTTTCGGATTTGGAGAAAACTGCCGTTTAGGGACAGTTAAACGGGTTCGCGAAACGGGATCATAAGAATACACTCGAGGATTTCTACGTTTTCCATCACAACATGGCGGAGAAGGCTTAGCAAAAGAACTAGAACTTTGATCAATGTCAGGAGACGATAAAACCATAGGCAAAAGATCCTGAAATTTGACGGCTACAGATAACTAAATAACTAAATGCTTCAAACTTTGCTTAAATTGGATAAGTTTTAAAAAAATGCTTAAAGTCATTTAGTTATTTGATTTCTGTAACAAATACCCTACTGCTATAAAACACATTGGAATGAAACAGATTTTTACTTCAGGATCCTGTGACTCTGCAGTATCAGAAGCATATTTGGAAGTAGAAGCAGAACTAATATCAGTTGCTGAATCGATATTCCCCAATTTATTTATATCTGTTGAAGAAAAAGGTGAATCTTCTAACTTTACAGCTTTCCTAGTTTCACCTAACTTTCTTTTGCGACGTTTCCTGAATAAAGATTTGTGCGATCAAATTTTTAAATTAATCACAAATTTTCCCTACAATAAATATATGACTGAACAATCATAATTTCCGCACAAATAAAGATTTCTAAAACTGAGTGCCCATAGTAATATTTCATTACAATTTCGCAAACAGTGCTTTCATGAGAAATGTAAAATGGTATTGCATACTTTCCGTGATTTTGAGAAAACAAATCTTGCAACTGTCCCGAATTCACATCTAGTGATTGACTACTAAATGAAGTAGCACTGACACAACTTGTAGAAGCTTCTGATAATTCTGAATCGTGTTTCTGCAAAACCAGATTTTTTAAAACTAATGAATCAATGTCCGGGATGATTTTGAGCAACGAAACGAAATTATAAGCAATAAAGTACATATCCGACTTCCTTCTAATCAAACAGAAACACATGCAATTACTAATGAAAATGACCTTCACTTGCTGATCATATCGTACTTGCTCACTATCGATTGCTAGCATTGCTTCCAACTCCGTTAAGTCCAAAGCCAACGCACCTTCCACATCCATTTCTTCTTTATCATTTTTTCCATTTGTATTTTCATACTTAACCTCAATGATTAGTGCTACTGCTTCTTTAAGCAAACTCATTCGTTTTGTGCTCAAATAATTCTCAATTCTACAATCATCTTTCATTTCCCTCAAACTAGGCAAAAAAATATCGTAAAAAAGTAATTTCCAGGTTTCATAAACAAATACGGCACTGATAAACGCATAAAGTATCAATTCTACTAATGTATTTATAACATAACTCTTGAAAACGAGGAAAAAGAAAGCTAATTATGTGTTTTCCAAACCAAATTTAATTACCGTTGAAGTCGTTGACATCTCTTAGACACTATATGATTTGGAATAATGCACTGAAATATTTGAAATATTAAGAAGCGTGACAAAGTTGCAACATTCCCTAACTACAAGCAACTACGACACTTTCAATGACAAATGAAACCAACGTCTACCGAAACTCGATTTTACACCCATGTGTAAATAAGCATAATAGGTTGCTAATTCAACCAATGAATATGTTACTTGTGGCCCCAAAATCAGTCATTAAACGTGTCATAATGCAATACGTATTCCCACATCTCATGCGGCATCATTTGTTGTTGAACGTATTATGGAGAAAGAAGTTCTTAAAAAATTAGAAATTCTGTGGGTTGAAATTTGATGCGGCGAAAATGGAAAAAATTGTTACGTCTATGTAAAACAATTTCATTCAAATTGCATTCTGATTGTCATTTTAGTCTGTCTACATTTGTATGTTATTTATTAATAACTAAATTAAGGCTATAATTTAAAAATTTTATATAAGTTATATCAGACTTTTTTCAAGTTGAAATTAAAGTGTTTTTTACACAATTTACACTTTATTATTTTATCTTCTCATTGTAATGGTTGGAACACTTTGCAAGAAGGAAAAAAGTTTCATATCGATACTACTATGCAAACTTGTGTACCAATTTCATGTGGAAAATGAATCTTGATTTCATGTTGAGAACTATATATGATTTGTTTTTCATTAAGATCTCATATTTGTTGTTCTGTTCTAGAAATTCAGTAGAGTTTCTTATATTTGTCCAAAATCATATATAGAACAAATTGTTGAAGTTTGAAAAAAATAAAAAATATCGATTATTTCTTTTTATCCGAATGACTTTTTTTCTGTTTCCCTGTTTCATTCATGCTTGTTTTATTTATGTTATATATTTTTTAATTTAAAAAACCTTTTAGTGCTTTTTATCAGACGTAAAAATGCGTAACTCACGTAATGCTCCTTGTATTCTATCAGATATTTACCAAATTTAGGAACGTGCTAAAATTGACTGTTTTTAAATACTTTGATTAATTTTGTTTCCTCTCATTATAGCAAATGAGTATAGCGTCCTTATTGCAGCAATAAATCCAAATGTAAAATGGCATCATCATCAGCAACTATAAAACTCGGACAAGGAGCATTGCGTGAGTTACGCATTCATTTGTGTCCAAAATCCGCAGCAAGTGCAGGCGTCAGAAGTTTTATTGAGAATGATTATGTGCCGCTGAAAAAAATGAATCGTCAATTTCCCATTTTGATTCGAGAATGCAGTGGAGTACAGCCAAAAGTTTATGCTAGGTACTTTTTGTTCCATTTTGTTAAAATTTTTGATGCAATGGAGTTGTTTACATATTTTTTGAATGAACAAGCGTATTTTTTTTTGTATAATACATAAGCGCGACTAGATCAGTCGTTGACTCGACAAATATGGTCCATTCATTATTGTGGATTGATTTCAGATATAACTGTGGTATTGAAAAAAGTATCCCATTGGATAATATCTCACGATATAGGGTTTTGGACATCATAAAGGATTTGGTAACTGGAAAAGTTTCATAATCGATAGTTATTCAAATTTATTTAATTTAGGTTTTATGTCGTCCTTGAAATGTTTTGCAAGTTTTTTTACCAATTATTCAAGAGAAAAGTAATGATGGTTGTTCTTAGTAATTAGTTGTTATCAATCGTTTAATGTTAGAAATTAAGCCACATGTGATAAAGAGATGATAATCTGTATAAAGTTTAGATTAAAAAAAGTGAACTGTAGTCTAGGAAAAATATGTAATATAAAATTGTTTGCCATCTGTGGATATGTCTCATTCTTGTAATAAATATTTACTCTCGTGTTTTTCACATAATCGAGGGGCTGTAAGTTAAGAAATATTAAGAAACTATATTTTTAATCTTGTCATTGCTCATTTAATATCTGCAGTTCAAGCGGCAAAATATGAATGTTAGAGCTGTAAATATTACTGTTTTATGTAACATTTGTAGCTCGAGCTTTTATCGCTTTTTAGCGTTTCATAGTCAGAAATATGAATATACTCAAACGTTGCATACTAGAAAATTCGACATTTATTTGGATAACAATACACACACGTGAACAAAGTACAAAAATTATGTAAGCGTGATTTCATGACTTGGAGCTGCAAGTTTACGGGTGATTCAATATGTTCCAATACAAATTTGAAATGCTATAATTGCGTGACAAATCTGGTGCGGCTAATATTTTGGAATTTGTTTTATAAACATAAATGTTAAAGGTGGTGAAGGAAGATAGAAAGTTGAAGTAAATGTTTTTACTAATTTACAATCCGTGAAAAGAAGGTGGATCATAGAAGAAAATTGGTTGTTTGGTGTTGCGATAATTGTGAAAGAGTGCTGAAGTGCTGATAATCCGTTATCTTATCTAAGGATGTTGATTAACTGGCCATTGCAGAGATGACAGTAATTCAGTAACTTTGTATCTGTTTATTTTGTGTCTTGTAGTGGCAGTGATTTTCTTTAATTTGAAAAGTATTAGATTATAAAAATCATTCATTAAAATGGAGTGTGTTGAATGAGCACAAAAAAATCTTTGCATCATTGGGAGGTGGACTGTAATATATAACAATAAAATTAACTACACAGTTTTCTTCATTACCAGTTGAATAGTTTTGGTAGTACACAAAATTGACCCTTTATTCTATTTTTAGATATAAATTAGGCAAATAAAGAGGCCATCCCGTTGTTAGGCAGAGAGTGTGCTGATATAGTTATGAAGCCATCTTGCATTTTGATCATTTATTCTTAGATTGACCTTAATTTATTCCTTCAAAAACAACTAGCGAAAATTATACATGGTATTCAATTTTCTCTGAAAATAACTCAGTCAATTCATTCTATTGTTTTTGTATTAACTGAGAAGGGTGAATTTTCCGTAGTTAGTATTTTTTTTCGGATAGACTTCTGTGATAAGTTCTGGCGCATTTTTACGTTAGACAGTTTGTTATACGAATAAACTCTAATTTCATTCATTTATTATTTCTTTGAATTAAGCAAATTATTTCTTCAAATAAAGGGGTTACGTATGAATTTTTTTTGATTAATCTATTTTTTAACTACTTTGTGGATTATTCAATTCTAATAAATTAGCCAGAATTTTACAGTATCAGTTCAAGATTACGGTTTGTTGATATATTGGGATTATCATCCAAATATGAAAGTTTACACAGTGACATTCATAGCATCAGCTTTGAGCGCTGTAACGTTGACAATATGTCTATTAGTCATACTTATGATTTCCATCGATATACGCAGAAGTTGGAATGATCTCGATTCAGAAATGAGCATTTTCACTGTAAGTTTAGTAGTGGTAAACTTTATTTATATTAGGAATAAACTGCTTTAAGCAATTAATTAATAAATATTTGAATATTAATTTTAAAATATAATTTGTTAGTTTATCTTATTTTAATAAAAACAAAGTTACTTTTTCGTATTTTGACGCACAAATATTTCAAGAACAGAAAAATTTTTGTGCGCAAAGTCAAGTTTTTATTCAAAATATTTTTAAATGAAGATGAAGAATTTTTGATTCTCAAGTCGAAAAAATTTGCAAGATTCTTATCTTTATGAGCAATAAGCAAAAACAATCTTTATTAGTCGAAAAACACCGTTTGAAGCAATTAAAAAATGTGAAAAATATGCCAGCGCTTAAAAAGTTGGATTTAGAATTTAAGACAGAACTTATATGTGCTCGTGTCTTATATATGTAAACAAGAATCATATCCACAATGAATATTTCAGGCAACAACGGATGAGTTATGGGCAGATATAATGCGGCTTGAGCACAAAAACCGTTTTCGACGACAGAGTAGGAATGAATATCGGCGAAAAAATGGTGCAAGTAGAAATTCACGTTACGGACAAGAAATCAAGTTAAAGTCATATACAAATATCGCAGCTGAAAGCATCGATTCTAAATCAGAATTAAATGGTCGTGCTCCTAGTCCACCGCCTTCTCTTGCTATTTCCAACTTTGGCTCATTCATCTCAAAAGATTCAGAATGTGGTACATTTCTTACTATAAAATATGTTATTCCAAATGAAAATACACTGTAAAAAGAGGCATTCCAAAAATGATTTGAAAAGTAATTCAAATAGTATAGAAAAGTAGAGTTAATAGTTTTAATTAAAGGCTATTCATAGCATAACAAAACAGTACTACGTTCAAACGATATGAGTATACTACTAACATAAATTTACAGGATGCCGTATTGATAATAAATGTCCAGCAGGTGCACCAGGCCCTAAAGGGCTAGTTGGTCCACAAGGTAGTTTTTATAACATATTTTAAACTAATTTTTAAGTATATCGAAACTTGATTGAATAATTTTAGAAAGACGGGTATTAAAATTATTGGTATTTTTAAGGCGAGGATGGAATACCAGGTAAAGATGGAATGCCAGGAGTTAATGAGATGGATATTGAACGCAGTAAATCAACTTTGGGTTGCTTCCATTGCCTGAAAGGTCCTGAGGGTCCACCAGGAGCTTTAGGACGTCCTGGACCACGAGGATTAGTTGGTATTAGAGGTCAAGCAGGTATGCCGGGACGAGATGGTAATCCAGGTCCGCCAGGTGAACCTGGACCAATGGGACCAGCAGGTGAGCTCTACAATTTAACTAACGTTTGGGAAATTTTCTTAGTGAAATTTCAAAAGTCTTAAGAAATAAAAATTTATTGAAAAATTTTACTCAGAATAAAACTGATAATAGAATCGCAATGAATTACCAGTCTAGGTATTTATGGTCCACAAGGGAAAGTGGGGGAGAAAGGTGAGGATGCGGAGCATCTAATAGGTCGACCGGGCCTGAAAGGTGAACCCGGTCCACCGGGTTCAGTGGGACCTCCTGGTTTCGATGGCCGCAATGCCCCACCAGGTCTTGGTGGACCACCAGGACCTCCTGGTTAGTTTATTACTCTTAAAAGACATATTCTTCTGTAATTTCTGATTGGTATTGCTGGAAAATAAACATATTTTTTAAAATTAGAGTTTGTGAACTCTAGGTAATTTGGGACCTCAAGGACCTGAAGGAATCGATGGAAACCCTGGAGATGTGGGAGAACAAGGACGACCGGGAGAAGATGCTGAGGTAAATTTGAAAATACTCAAAAAACCTATGTCGTTGTAACGCACAAAAATTTTACTCTATTTATGTTCTGCAACTTCAGTGAATACGCCTGTGGATATAAAAGTTTCTTTCCCGTAAATTCTAATTCGTTTATTCTGTCACAGATTGGCTTAAAGATTCGCCTTTAAGGACAGATTCAAAATTAAAAATTATAAAACTATCGAATTTAGCGAAAAATTAATTTAATATAATTGCAGTATTGTCCGTGCCCAAAGCGTCAAGAAGTCTATAAGAAGTTAAAAACCAGAAGAAAAATATAGATTCCGATCGCTTCCAAACATCCTGGAAAACAAGTTAAATCAATTATCAAAACTAACAGAATTAACACTATTTAAGTTAAAAATGTTGCATCATTCATTCCCATCACAATATTATCTCCTTTTAAATTTCAGTACTCAACATTCTGCAATAATTTGCATAAGCTGTTTGGATTGCAATGTAAGTGATATAGTGCTATCACAACTGATCATATGCATAAATAACATGAAAGAGAATATAAAATTGAGTAAAACAATAAATTGTCATATTTTTGGTTTGTGGACAGTGCCTAGTTGGTACCTCTTAAATTTAGTGTGAAATTAACTAAGAAAAAGGTTTGGAGAGAATGTTTGGGGACATAGAAGAGATTCCACAAAATGTTTGCGGTGTAATTGGAAATCGTTATGTGATTACAGCACCTGTTGATGAACCAGTTGCAAAACCGTATATGTATTTTCATTTATATGATGATTATCCTAGAGGAGAAGTAAACATGGTTCGCCAAAATACTATTCAGTTATTATAATGTTCTTAATAAACGTTTAGTAAAGTTTTGTATTATCGGATTCTGCTTGGTTATCAGAAGCTATCCCGATTTTCTTCTTCAAAAATAGAAAGCATTATCATGTAGCCATATTTAAAAAATTAATATTTCTTACACTGAAATTAATAATCAAATACGAATATGTTAACTATCAGTAGAAGCTATTCGTTGAATATTAAAACAGTTATCATTCTGTCAATTCTCGAATTAACGTGATCAGTATTAAAGATATCTGAACAAAACCAATTTCATAACGATTTTGATAATCTTACTGTAATAAAATTTGCATATATTGAAAAAAAAACTTTCTCTGTACTTGATAATGCATCTAAATTGTAGAATACATTTCTCTAGCCATTATATGCAATGATTGGACGACATGCTCAATCAACTGGACCAATTCATATGACTATTAAAGTTCTCGAAACAGTTAGAAACAGAAGTGTACACTTTCCTACAATTATTCAACGTGGAAAAGTGGACAAAGTAATTCTTCACTCACAAAACTGCAATAATAATAGCGTAATACCAAATGTTGACCAGTACTACAAAATCATTCTAGAGATTTATGCAGTGCTTACAGCAAGTAATTTAAAGTCTCAAGTTTCACTGCTAGAGTAGTGCATAAATAAACTGCATGAATAATTATATTCAGTTTATATTTTGCTTTCTCAATTTTTAAAATCTTAACGACAACATAAAATATCCGAATACTAGCTATTTTCAAATAACTTTCTTTATAACTATTATCGGAATATTCTAAGCTTTATTATTAAACAAGTAAATCCAAGATTTTCATTGTAAAGCGAGTAAAATATCACGTGAAATACTATACTTCAGTTATAAGGGATATCCCGATAAAATAACATGTCTCATTGAATTGTAAAGTATCACAGTACCACTAATCACAAATATTATTGTAAGAGCAATAAAAATGAATTCCAATTAAATTACACAGAAAATAAAATACAATATTAAATAATATATGTATCAACTTTAATGATTTACTAAAGCTTTGAGTTGCTCAGGCAAATTCGGTTCAGAATACTTTAAAAATTGCTACAGTAACTTAAAATCTCAACCTTTACTACTGAAGCAATGTTGATTACAAGAAAAACCAGTGTCAGCGTTTTGCAACAATTAAATAGCTTAGCCCAGAATCCATCAAAGTTTTCGGGTAACATAATTTTGAAAAGTTAGATTTCAGCAAATTCTAACCATTGATTCAGTGCTTTATAAAGCATTTTTATAAATGTCTGCGTGAGAAAATTATAAACAGATGACTCCAGCTTTATTATGGAAATGAAGGTGAACAAGAAAAGGAACTTGACCCGGAATACGGTGGCCGTCCTTTTGCTATTATTAAATATGATGCAACGCCAATATCAGTGATTACTCTTCTGTCACCTCAGAAGTATTTATCATTCTAAAAATTAACTTTTATAAATATATTCTCAAGTGTAATCTTCCAGATTCTGATTTATATATCTAGAAATAATTAGCATCTAACGTTACTCCTTTTCGATTTTAACAAAAATTTAAGCACATGCTTGATCATTTAGAAAAATCAGTTTGTTTCTTTACCAATTTATCATATATCTTTAGCAAATATTAAACTCAAACTTTGAAACCAAATTAATTGAAAACTAAAACTTTTAATTTTATAACAGCTTTAGCAAATATCAAGTTGCTTACAGAGTTAGCATGAAACTAGAGATTTAAACAATTTTGCAAATGATAACAGTTTGTTAAGTTCTATAGGTCAATTCCGAATGTGTTTGCTCTAATGATAGGCCTCGGATGCGTTCGAGCTTTGGCAGCATTACACCACGCTGGTTTTGTACACCGTTTTGTTACACCTTATAATTTTGCCATCACAAATCCACCTACTAAAGAGAATGTTCTTAACAAAATGATTATCACTGACTTTAGCGCCGTCTTACCATGGCCATGCAAGTAACCATTATCATAATTATTCACACAGATCTTCATTATAGGTTAATGACAGTATAATAATTAGAATAAATGATCCACTACACTCGTAAGTTCTGATTTTCATAAACATTGAAATAGTTAACTTTTATGTTGAAAAGATGAAATTTCGCCTCTTAGAATACTAAAATAAAGTGGAGTAAGGAAAGCGCACAGTTCTAGGCCACGAATTATAGCACCATTTGTTGGTTCCTTTCGATACAGTTCGATAAGGGCTCACTGGGGACGAGAACAAGGTCCTACAGATGATATCATATCTGTACTTTATATAGTTGCCGAATTTCTACATGGGAAGTGCGTATACCATAGCATTTCTGAAAAAGAATGACTTGCTACTTCTTAGATTCTAGATAACAGTTCCCAAAATCACAGTACTGTATCTATCTGCATAAAATCATTTCTGCCTTTAAATTATTGACATCCAAAATTCATATGTAAGAATGATTGTATAGTAACGAAGTGAGATTTAAGGTTACCTTGGCGATCGTTAAAAAATGATCAAGATCCGATTTGTTATATGAAAACTCATTTCTGTAGAACTACTGCTTTCAAAAAATTACCAAGACAACTTCGAAAAGTTTATTGGTACATATTTAGCATCCATGAATATCACATTAATTAATTTCACTGCGCAGTGATAGAATTAAATAATTTCGTACAACAAACATTGAAAACTATAAATAAAGAAGATAGCAACTTTTCTTGAAATATTTAAAAGCAAAGTTTTCCAGTTAAGAAATTTAACGCAAGTATGCATAATTCATAGTTTGATAGTTTTCAGCATAATGCACTCAAAGACAGGTTGTGCATCAGTCGACTACAAGTTTGTAATTAAATCATTTGAAGAAGCAATTGAGAAGAGAAACGGTGATAAGTTTGTCGTGCCAAGTTGGTTATTTTCTGAAGGGGCACTACCGAAGAAAAAAACATAGTGCTTGGAAAAAGTCTTGTGATAAAAGAAATCCTCTGGCCGATTTTTTACCAAACTTGATAGCTGATTAATGAAATGGGCAATTTAAAGTGAAATAACTTGATAAACTATCAGATCTCTCTTATCTCAATAATTAAGCTATTGAGATAAGAGAGATTATGGCCTAATATTTGAAAAAGTAATAAAAAATTTTTTACCTTCATAAAAAAAACTCCGTCGACTTCTGAGCAAAAACATGTGACCGCAATTGCATAAAGCTCACTTTTTGTTCATTGCAATCTTATTCTTATTCTCCATTGCAGTACGAATAATCCTTATAGTGACAATAAGATAATATGTAAGCTCGAGAAACAATGTTTATTAAACTGTGCTTACAATCTACTTCACGATCAATTACTATATTCGCTTAAAATGCATATTCCAGTCAGTTGCATCTGTCTCAAGTACATTTTCAAACTCCTACACCAGTAAGTAAGAAAATTTTAGCACAGAAAACCAAAAAACATGAGAACTATTCACACAAAATATTGACAGTAAAGTTAATGAGCTCATAAACTTTTGAAACATTATAATATATATATATTCTTTAAAACTGCAACGTAGAAAAGGCATCATCTATCTGTGCTGTACATATACACAATTTACACAATTCATGGAATACATCCAAAAAATTATTAAAACATACATTGCCAATAGTAAACTACATTACAGGTATGTAATCCATGCTGCCGACTAAATTTTAAAATGTAAATTTTACGATATGCTTCATACATTCTACATAACTGAGTTAATAAGGAATATTCAATAAATTAAACCAAACTTTTCAGCATAAGTGTCAATTCTATGAATTATGGGTGTCAAACCATCATTTGGAAAAAATTCAACTTCCCAGATTAAATCCAACCTTCGCATCGACTGACCTGCACTTTTGATTCGCAATGTTCCATCTTTCCGTCGTGAAGGATCTTTACTAGCGCGAGCAGCCTAAAATCGTACTTAATGGTTGCAATCAATAAATAAACTACTGTTAATTTTATAGTTCTAAATCATCAAAATTCTAACAATCCTAACAGAAGTATATAGTACGAAAAATTTACTGAGATATTACATTATTGATGAACTTATGACACACAGAATAATCGAACGATAAAAGCGCCTAATTAGAACTTAAATAAAGTCTTTTCAACAAAAATTTACAAAGATAAAAAATACATGAAATTGCGAAAAATTTTTTGAAATACTGACAAGAGCTTCCTCTGGAGTCCAGCCAATCAATTCCACAAGAAACTTATGGGATGCAACACACGCCAAACATTGATAACTTTTGTCACTTAAGGCCACGGTCAGCGCCCATAAACCGTCTTCGTTTATATGCAATGGCTGCAATGGGTTCGTCTCCATTGCCGCCTACAAAACAACAGGTTACTAAAATAATAGAAATTAGTATATTAATGTCATGAGATGTTAAAGACAAATCAGTTAAAATTAAAAGCGCACACCACAGTAAAATCAAGCTAAAATTCATTTAAAATTTATACAAATAAAAAAAAAGTTCCACGAAACATTTAATATGTTTTTCAAGACATTTATTTGATACTGCGTGAATAGTGCAAAAATTCTAAAAACTGATCTTCAAATACTAAATACCGATAAAACTCAAAAGTGTAATTGATTAGAACTAATATTTTATTTGTTCTGAAATGCTGCGCGAAAACTAAATGCTTTCATGAGCAAAAAAAGATTCTTACAGCTAATAATTTGCGCTTTGGCACAACAGCAAATCGCATTGACTGCAATACTTGCGAAATTGACTCGATACCAAGATTGTTGCAGGCGATAACAGTTGTATTTTTAGTTAATGTAGGTGGAATACTATATTCAAATCCCTTTGAATCACCTGGTAAAAAATACAATGTAAAATCTTGATCTCTTGTTATCTATACTTCTTTTTCGAGTACTTTTTTGTTGCAGCCAGGTCAACTAAAGAACCTGTTATGACACTTTTTTTCTGCAAATGAGAAAAAAAAATGCACAACAACAATATATTATTGAACTAACTAAATAAAAAAAGAATTAATTGCAAAAAAAATATCATTAAAACACTTCGAATCTGATTTTCCAAATTACAATTTTCTGTTCGAAACATACATTTCTTTCCTTCGTGTACTATAGGTTTTGGTGTTTCAATCAAAATAACATCATCACTGTCTTCAGGCCCTTCTCTGAAAATCACAGACTAATTCCTGGCTTTCAGTGTTTTGACCGAAAAAAATTGTATATCAACAGAGGAAAAAGTCAATCTCTCAAAATCTGACTGAAAAAAAATGCTTAATCGAAATTTGAATATTACTAAAACTTTGTAACATCACAGAAATCCTACCTGGCCTTTATTTATTTAATTTTCAGAAATTTAATAAAAAATTTTGCAATTGCATACGGTTTGTATCTAAACACCAAAATCATGTCATGACTTGTAAAAGCAGAATCAAAGCAGATCAGACATACATTTTAAGTTTTTTACAGCTTGCAGTAAGCGATGGTGTAAAATTGGAACGTTTTGATGCTGGAGAAACAATCGGTGTTTTGGTTATTAAATTTAGGTTTTCACTCGATGTCGACTGCAGTTGTTTCTGAAAACAAATAAATGTTTCATAGTGAAAGAGTACACACAAAGTTGATCATTAATATGCAATTTGTGGAAAAGATTACTATATTATTCACAGATTGCTTAATGCGTGCAGCTACACCAGTAAAAACTTGTTTCTGCTCCAAAGTTTTCGATAACCTGAAATAATTTATTTATACTAATATTCAACATGATATACTGCAAAAGAAATTTATAAACAACATTGAAAATGTATCTCATCCTGAAGAATATTTTGTTCAGTTCTTAAAAAAGATGCGATTTTGATCATGCTAACGACGAAAAAACATTCTTTTAGGCGTAAAGTAGTTGGATATTTAGATACTGTGGACGATAAAATGATATAAATTTACGAAACGTAGTAAGACAAACATTTTACGCCTAAAACGACGATATTTTTTGATTGTCGAGATATTAAAAACCATGATCACGCTTGTCTTTGGAAAAATGTTTACTATATTCCTTTAAAAAAAAATATGGAAATCAACTTACAACAGTTCTTCAGATAACGGTTTCACTTGCATTACAGGTTTCGTGTTTTCAATTCCTGTTAAATTCTGCATTCTAGAAATAAAATCATATAAACAACTGCTACATTTCGCCAGTGAAGGTATGGGACTTTGATTTGCTGTTTAGCGACAAAAGACTCTATGGAAAAGAGTTCAAGATTATTTTTAGCATTTTTTAATTTCGAGATTCAGGTTTTTTTATTCATGCTCATTGCAGTGAAGACTACTTAAAACTAGATAGGAAGCCTTACTGAGCCTTATAAATGAATATCTCAATTAATAAGTGTTCTATTGAAAAATGATTATATTTTTGAAGAAAAAGAATGATAATGTAATCCTTTCATTATTAAGGTTCTCATGTATGCTGATTTTAGTTGCTTCAAATTTATATGATGAAAAAATTTGTAGTAATCTATCTATTAAAAGTACTTACTGATCTTTTTCTTTTGTTCTGTTTGTAGTCATCTGTAAACTGTTTCCTTGATTTGGTATCGCAATATTCAGACGTTTGGTCATCATTTCAATTGGTCGACCTGTTTTCATTAATAACTCATCATCCCCACCTAACACTATACAGTTGAATTCAGTAAGCAACAAAATTCCCCGTCGACAGCAAACATCTTTTTTCACTAAAATCTGTAATAGCATCTAAAAAATAAATTTGAGCAAACGTAGACAGAAACTGAGAATGACCAATTTAGGGTTTGTTATCAGTACTGAACTTCAAAATATTGCTGCAGTATATCAACTTCAATTTATGTGAATAATTTGCTAAATTTGGTTTGAAGATTAGAAATTAGTGAGAATGAGAAGTTTACTTTACATCCTGGAGTAGTCAAAAGAGAAAGATCTGGTATCGAGCTGTATTCTATGGCTTTTATTGATGAATTACCGTCCGATACTTCCATTAAGAGCATACGATTCGAATTTCGCTAGAAGGACAATTATAAGGATTAATTCAATGTTTGCTGAAATCTGTTCGAAAGAAATATTACAATCGGTATAAAAATATAATACTCAACTGAAATCAAAAAAAATAGAATAACAAATTTTAAAATCAAAAACAAACTACAAACGGGTCACATTCCGCTTGATTTTCATCCGGTTTTATCTGGAAACCTGAGTTATCTTCAATTTCTCGAGTTAGCAACCGATACTGAGAATAAATTGAGGTCCCGATATCAATTATAGAGTTTATCTGAAATGGAGACGAGAAACTAAAATATAAGAAACTTAAATACAGAAGTTAAAGTATTATGCTGTGCTTTTATCAAAAAAATGATTAAGCTTTCATTAGAACCGATGATAACAATTATTCCAAATAAACTGCACCTGTAACAATATAGTACTTTTAAGCGATGTTCGCTTTGTATGTTTACTCACTGATAATGGTAACAATGCACGAGAGGATACTGCGAGATCAGTATAAAGCCATTGTTCATACACAGCTGATAGCAAAGAATGTTCAAATTCCTGAAAAGTAAAACATTCATGTAACTTTTTGAAAGTATAAAGTAAAAATATTTAAAAAAAATCAGTGATACTAAAAAGTATCCGAGAAATTATTCTGAGATATCTATGCTTGAAACCAATATCTTTATTTTGTTCAAAAATCTGTTTTCCATTAATCTAATAATCTTAACTACTTACGCATCAGTTATTTCTATTAGAAATAAGTAACAAAGTAGCCAAATTGCTGTTCCCCAAAATTTACGACGTTTCTTTTTACTAGCAAGAAACATTAGGCACTGAACGTCAATGCACAATAACTAATGTAAAGTATGCAATCAACAAACTCTCACGAAGTTGAAAATTCATACCAGTGAGCGAAGATAGATGACGACTTCATTAAGCCACTCTTCTTGTAATATCACATTAAGCTTTTCCCTAAAGAAATTTCTGATAAAATCAATATCCATCCATAACACTGATCACATTCACAGCTGAAAAGTTTTTTCATATTCATGATAAGAATAAAGGATATAAAAAACTAGACAAATAATATAAAACATGGTTGTTGTTTTTTTTAAATATGTACCACAAACAAAGTACTTTTCTTATCATTCTTGCAGTTTGGATTAACTCAATCTATTTTTAATAAGTAGCCAAAGCTTTGGAAATCTGACTTAAAATAACATAATTATCATTCATTATAACAAGTAAAAAACATAAAAACACAAATTATCTCAATTGTGCGCTAAATCGGAAGTAATTTTAGCTGAACTATCACAAATTTAAAATCATTACACTAAATCATAGAACCTAAACTGAATACAAATTATAAATCACCAAAGAGATCTGAAAAAGTGACTTCAAACGCCAAAACATGAAGGACAACCCATAGTAACGCCGCTTCGCCTATTTTTCTGCTCTAGGCTGCATTCAAAAGATCCTTCCGCCAAACTCCGATTTCACTGTTCATTGTGCAAATGTCTTGTATCACCAAAATATATTCCAAAATGCAACATCTCTGAGAACCAGTTCTTCGTTGTAATTGCTCCTACATGATTACCGATAAAATATGATCATTATCAAAACATACAACTACTTGCAGATAACCACTTCAAAAGCAATAAAATCATCATCAAATATAACAAACAACACTGACTGAATACGGTAATTTCCACCAAATAAAAGTATAATAATAAGTATTGTTGCCTTAGCCATTTATCTACTCTCTCTGATATCAGCTAAATAGAGAACAGACAGAAATATCCTTAATTTCTATCTGTACATTACTACTAAAATTAGTTGCTCAATTTACCAATAATATATTAACAATTCCTCTTGCTCTTATTACACTTTTTCTTCAATATCAATTGCAAAGATATTCCTTACAAATATTCTTATGCATTTGCATCTTATTATCAAGCAGCAATAAATAGAATGCTCCAACAAAATAATACTTCATTTTCTATTCCATATACTACAGCAACAATTGCATACTTTTGAGCTTCAGAATCATCTCGAAATATATCGCTCTCTTCATGGGTTTGTTATAAGGTATAGCTAAGTGACTGCTCACAGGTAAGCCAATAAATATGGCATTTGAATTCTTTAGCAGGAACATATATCAGTTATTAAATAAAAAAGTGAACACATAAATAAGAGTGCTTATTTCACCATAAATGATACGTGTTAATAACTTAAAACGCAACAAAAAACATATGACAGATGCAAACAAAGCATAATTTTAATATCCCTAGATGAACATATATGAGCAGTGACCAACTGATTGATTACAAAAGTTATTGACAAATCTCTAATTAGAGGAATTTCTAGAATTCGCCAACAAATGATCCAGTACTTCACCTCAATTTTACCAACGATTACAATTTCTGTTGCTATTATTATATCAATTGCAATTGTGTTATCATGTACCGTACGAAAAACCAAACAACGAGCGTACAGGCCGGGACACTTACCAGATTTCGAGGTATTAAAAACTAGTCATTACTAGAAATAACTGCGAAGAATAATTTGCAAGAAAATGACCTCAAACGTTGAATCCATGTCACAAAACGAAATCATAAGATCTAAAAAATTGCCAAATATACACTCCCTGAATGAACTGGAGGAAAGCATCATTCCCCAATCACTGGACAATGAACTGTCTTTTATTCAAAACTACCCTAATAATATTGTTTTGCAAAATTTCTCATAAATTTAGGACCCTGACTCTAAAGAAGCAGATACATATTACGGAATGAGAAGTGCAGTGGCATTCCCCACCAAAGAGCTAACCGAAAGTTGGACAGCCAGTTTAGTACTATTATCTTTTGAATTACTGGAAAGTTCAAACAGAAAAGCTGATTTCTTAGTTTAACTAACTAATGAGTATTTAATACAACTCAAAATTGCAAAGCCTCGCATTTTAACTTATTATTAAACATAGTAAAATTCAGTATTTAAAAAAAACTATAGATGATAGTATTAAAAAACATGACTCATCACTTGACCGCACACACATTTGAAATGTTCAGTCTTGAGTAATAATTATGTCTTTATGTTAAAGCTGAACAAGAATTTCGAAGACCTCAAGCCAACGGGAAAATTGCATTAAAATTTGATATAAATCAACAAGCAGTTCCCAAGAATGAAATAGTGCAGTCCTGTAATCCTGAACGTGGAATCAGACAGCCGGTAATTTACCCATATATTTCTGTCACACTAGAAATTTGAAATTTCAAAATTTAAACTGGAACAAACTTAGATAACACTAATCAATCAAAAAATCATTTCACTAAGCTAAAACGTCAAAAATAACAGTCGCAACTGAAAGCTAAACAAATCATAACTTAATAAAGTGACATATCAAGTGTGCTAAATAAGAGGAAAAATAGAAGTACAATGCTACAAAATGAGGCCTGACCTTAAGTAATTGTATGATTGAAAACTACTGCAGTACTGTGCTCTCCGCACAAAAAATTGAGCTCAATGATGCAAAAAATGATAAAATTTGTTTTTGCATCAAAAGCATAGTACAGTATGAGATAATTAGATATGACCTAGTAAAATATAGAACTTGCATCAAAAATTTATTCAATATTAGCTGTAAACTAAACAAGAAACGACATAATGTAATATGTATGAATTCAATATATGCAAAAAGTAAAGTGTTTATGTTTTTCTATTGTGTTCATACTCATCAAGGCTAAGTTAAATGAAAATAATCATAATATAGAAAAGTTAATCACCTGAATCACAACTTTCAAAATAAAGATTTCTGGAGTACAAACTATTTGACATCGCAGATCATTGATCACTTCAGATCAACAAATAAATAGTAGAGTCTTAAAATTTTAATGAGCACGGAAATGCTGCTTATCGACGTTTCTTAGATGAGGATCCCTCGTCCCCTCCATCCACTGCTCTTTTCTTTACTTCTTTACCCGATTCTTTAGCTGATTGCAGTAACTGACCAAGACCAAAAATATCCTCTTCCTCTTTCTCGAACTAAAAGTAGACGTTTAGCAAGAAACTTCAAATCTTATTGTTGATATGCTAACCTAGATTACCACACAAAAGGTTGAAACAGTAGTACGAAACAATACTATTAACAAACGTCATAAATTTTTCACAAAAAAAGTCTAAAGAAAATTAATATTTGCAGGAGTCTGATGGAAAAGAAAAAGCGAGATTTGCATTCTAAATTATGAAAATCATAACAAATTCTAGCAAAACATATTTTTAACTTTGGAAAGTAAGTGTTATTCACAGAATAAAGTAAATCACATGGCATTTAGAAATGTGTCTACACTGTACAACTCTTCCAAAGCACATTTTCCAGCTTTACTTGAAATGAAACAAAAAATGAATGCAGTGAAAAAACGAGACAGCTCAGAAGTCCCTTCACGAAATATATATTTTGCAGAAATATAATTATAATAAGAGACTAAAAGACAGGAAATGATATCAAGACAAACTTCGACAGGTCCGGCATTGCGGCCAGTCCCCGGTTCAGCACCACTAAATCCTTTGTCAGGAACGAATCGATTAGTGCTGATAATGCGATCCAGATCATCGCCATAAAGATCTCTGTCAAGATTTTTGCCTGAAATTATTTGAATTCCCAATCATCCTATTTTTTACAGTAGATGTGAATGAAAATTAAAGAAATTGGCTTTTTTAACTTGCTCACTTGGTCGATATATATGCTGCTGAATATTATCTTGAGCACGCCATGGCTTGTCATATGCGCTATATGTTTCATCATCAATGCCACCGCTATCCAATCCCTAGAAAAACAAATTTCAGCTTTACTTCTACTTTAGCACACAATGAGAAATAAATACCCATAGTGTAGCATCATAACACTGACGAACAAAAAAGGAATTGACAGATTTAGAAAAATATTAAGTAAATGTTATCAGTACAATGAGACACCTTGGATTGATCAAACAAACGTTGATCGAATTGTGTCTCGTGATGTCTAGCTCGAGCATCTGGCAATCCTAATGCGATCTTCTCACTTATATCGCGGTCACGACCTTTTTTGAGACGATCTAACTTATCTGGATTGTTTCTCGCTATATTTTTTTCACGACGATACTCATCCACGCGATCACGTCTGCAAAATAATCTTATGAAAATGAGAAATTTGAAGTAACAATTCCATAGAGCAACTTAAAAAATCAATAAGCTGAATTTGTAGGAACAATGCAGTAGTATCTTCATCTCTCAGAAATCAAAAATTTCATTTTTTCAGAAACTATGAAAAGAGGAAATGATTCAAAAACATATAGTTGCAATAATAAAATCTGGGAAATGAAAATTAGCCTAATTTTAGTTAACCTAATTTGATCTCGTTCACGAGCTTCCTGATTAGCCAAATCATCTTCATGAGCCTTCTTTGATAGCGCCCGCTCTTGTCTGCAATTTACGAAAAAAAGATAAAATTATTTAATTATGAACAGATACATGAACTAACATTATGGACAAATGCCAAAAACGTATTCTATTAACTACTATTGCTATTGCTTAGTTTCATAAGTAACAGAAGTAGATAAAAATTCTTTATGAACAATTTAGGTCAAAAGTACTCAGAAATTGATCAGTTTGCTGACAGAAAATTATAAAAGTAATGCGAACCTGGCTTTCGCAGCCATGGCTCTCATTTTCTCTTCTTGTTCAGCTTTCTTATTCTGTGCAACACGACGTTCCATTTGAGCGCGTGTCTCAACAGCTTCGCGAGCTGTGCGATCAGCCAAATATAATGATTCCGCCAACTTCGCGAAATTTTCATTAATATGTACCTTTAAAAAAATTTTTATTACCAATTTGTCAGATCAAAATATTCGAACTTTATAATACAAGAACATCTCTCATAATGCTAAGAAACAAAAAAAAAAACCTGCTGCAAGCCTCTTCCATCAGCAGCAAGCCTCTTATCGAGAGCAATGGTGAATCCTAAAGATATCAGAACTCAGATACAAGCTACGTGTATTAATAAGTCATGAATCCCACACATCTTCACAAATAACAAATGAATAGATAAATAAGTACTAAAATGATGCATTTTTTTGTTTGTAGTTCATTCTAATTAAAAACCTTTTGGATTTTTCCAATTTGATATGCATGGAGGAATTTTCCAATCAGCTTGTTCTTTCACAGTTGTCTGAAATAAAACATAATGTGAACACTGAAGAAATAAACATAGTCAATCAAGATAATTGTGAAGCAGTCATGACAGTGTCGACAACATATTAACAAAATTTATTGAATAAATCCAATTTTTATGCAAAATTATACTTTTCGAGGTGGTGAATGCATAACGGGTGCTGGAGGAGAAGGAGGAGCACGTGGTATCTTCTGATTGATTCTGAAAGAATAAATAAATAAGAATATCAACAGAATTCTTCTTCCTAGATTATAAAGTGCAGTAAAAATTACTGATCACAGTATGATAAATCATGACAGTTTCTAGATAGAATAACGAATGTTACACAGTAGATGAAAAAAATGCCTGACTTAAACTTTGGAGGTTCCATAGGATCCTGTTGCACTTCAACCATACGAATAATTCGCTGCTGGGCACCGCTATTGAATCCACTACTTTGTTGGCTTGGAGTGTAACGTATATACTGAATCGGATTTGGTCTTTCTGCGTGTCGTACAGGTAAAGCACTGGCTATCTGAAGCAAACGTCTATGAAAAGGATGAAAATAAATGTCCTACAAATAAACTGATTTTAGAATATAGTAGTTGCAATTCTATGAACAAATTGAAACCTTTGTCGATGTTATTTTTTCCAGAGCTAAACGAGTAGTTTCAGTTTGCTCTGCAATTGTTTCGTCGTCAGGCCGTTGAAAGGATTCATCTTCATCATCTAACATTTTTGGCTTCATATCAGCAAGCCTTGTATAAACAATCTGCAAAAGTTCTTGAACTAATAGCAATGAATATAATTATCATTGATATGTTTCGTGTGAATCTTTCAAATCATTTCCGTCATAAAACATAACCAATGCTGCTTTCTTCTTCACTACACAACATTAACCATTTGAAATTATTGTGGTGAAATAAACTGGACTTTACGTAATGAATTACGAAAAGCTTTTTGTTTTTTGCATATTTCAGAAATACTAGAGCAAGAATAACAGTAAACTGTGAAACTTAAATTGAATTTCATATGTTTAACAAAGTTCGAACTTACTTTGTCATTGGAATGACCGATTCGAGCAATTGCGTCATGCCTTAATTTCCCTTCCGTATCAAACTGAAGAGCGATTGTTTTGTCGCCACCAGATTTTTTGTGCAAATCCATCCCCATGCCTACAAGTTAATTTTCCAGCTCAGTTCGAGGAATCGTTTGTACAAAGATAATAAATAAATTTCTAAACACCTTTTGTAAAAAACTCCTGCCACTCAGATAAGACTTCCGTAGAAATTCAAAAAATTAGAAACGGATAAGAACAAAATATTACCCAAAGGAAACTGTGCAACTGGTATTTCAGGAAATGCGCCGCCATCACCAAAATCCTAGAAACAGCCGATACGTTTTAAAGGAATACAAACGAAGTATCGAAAAAACTACATCACAAATAAGTGGAAAAAAAATAAGTCATTACCTCAACATTCCTGGGTATCCAATCACTTCTTTTACCATAAGGCGGCGGTTCTTTCACTACTACAGCTTCACTATCATCTTTTTCAAAAGCAGTCTATAGATACAGTAAACGTGGTGCTTTTACCACAAAAATTTCAGAAAATAAAGTTAACTACAATTATCAAATTTTTGAAAAAATTAATATAATTTTTCAAAAAAACAGAGAGATAAAAACACAATTAGTAAGAGTTCTAAAATCAGAGCTGACAAACTCACTTCCCTTCCCTGGAACCACGGATCACGACGTACTGAAGACCATTCATCAGAAGTAGAAGACGGAGGTGGAAGTATGCTGTAATTTTTATTTCTTTAACCATAAACAGAACTGACAGAAATAAGAATGGTAGATTGTCAGATCTTCAACCGTTGAAAATTAGCAAAAATTTTTTTATTACAATTGAATTCATTCTGCTTTTTTGATTTTAATGAATAATACTTGCAAGTAGCAATATTAAAAGGAAAAAATCTGTCAAAAATGCTTGGAAATTTAATTATTCATGATTAAGGACTAAAAAACATACTCAGCTAGCTTTACAGACATATTTCCACTTCAGCGACTGCTTCTTGAAAGAGGAAGCACACTTCTAAAATCAAGTTTAGGTATTTGAATACATGCAAATAATTACGGAGTTTATCCGGATTATATTTAAACTCAACTGTTTAGCCTATCCGAACGTTACAACACTACTTAGATTTACAAAAACTACGCATTAAGCTTACAAATATGTCTTTCGGCAACTTGCCAAATTGGTTTTACGGCTGATATGAAATAACACATAGGACGAAATGAAAACTTCTCACACCATTGTTACAAGCACAAAATTAGCCCTCGAATTTTCTGATATAACTTCTGATAGGTTCTGAGTACTGGTCCATCTTAATGTTGCCAGGCATGACTTGTAACTCGAAGTAGGTAATTCGTATGCAGTTATTAGGGATGAACCAGACACACATAGGTTATTAAATATAATTTTGAAAGCATGAAAAGCTTTGCTAGCCTCTATGTAAATTGAAGAAAATTTTGTTAGCAATTCTGGAAATTTCCAAAATTATTACAACATTGATTTGGCACTGTTTCCGAAGCCAAAAAATTGTAATTAGGAGTGACAATAGAAATAATTGATGAATATTATAAAGTTAAAAGATATAATTCGTTTTGCAAGATTATAGTTATTTTTGAAATAATGCATACGCGAACCGACTTTAAATACTTCTAAAGTAATACGTGAAATCATCTCACCTTACAAATAGAATCTAGTGATCATTTGAAGTTTGCATTTGACAGAAAGCATCATCGTAAGTATTCTTTGCTTGATGACTAATACTCCTCTATTCTGTTGTTAATATGATTAGAAGTAAAAAAGTGAATTAAACAGACCCAGTAATTTACATATTTCCTGTACTGCCCAATGAAATTACTACTAAGCTGATCAGTACCACTAAGTCTCTTGAAAGATCGTGGATACCTTGGAACTAGTGCTATGTACTAGATAGACACTCAACGAATTTGATCTTTTCCCAATTATTTTCATATATTTCATACGAATTCAGCGAATACCAGAAGTTGCTGATATGGACGACAGGTTACAACTTTGTTTGAAATTTTGTTTTCATAGATTAGTTTTGTCAAAATTAAATAAACACAATCAAATTTTTTTTCTTCCGACAGTTATGATTGCTTTGATCACAAGAGCGAACTGTTACGATGATATTGAACGATTTATTATTAAATGGTCCGGATGGTCATGCGTATCGTATTCTCACCAAAAAATGGACCAACGCGTTCAAATTACAATAACAGAAAAATTTTTTATGGAGTAAGAGTAATCGCATTTGAAGCACATTGATCCACTAAATACTACACAATTTATCATGAAAATGTTGATACCAAGAATGCTGTACAAATCACCGGAATTTTCGATACATATAGTTGTGCAGAAACCGAGAATAACGATGACTATAATCTCATACTACGTACATTAATGGTAGTGAACAGATGAAAAGACAGGATACAGCTATCCATAATGCTAAACATGCACAAAAAACAAATCAAATATTATAAAACTTTAATGAAAAGGCTGCCTGATATTTTTGCTTCAGAACCACAAATACAATACATAGAAGCACAACAAACAACAAAATTGACAAGTCTATCTAACTATTAGAAAAGTCAACATCCTAATTATATTTAAAGATTCCTGCTTATCAGCCCCGAATTTTTCAATTTCGATCACCAATTAATTCCCAATAGTACTGCAATAAACAATCATTGCTGTTAACGAGGTTCGTAATTTAGCGAAAAGCAAATGACAGAAGATAATTTTCATAAACTCTTGGAAAAATCAAACTTCAAGTATTAATTTCGCCCAAAAGTAAAAAAAAAGAAAGAAAAGAAACCCTCTGAGCCATTGTTACATTTACCAGTTATTACAATTCATGAAACCAAAGTAGAAATTGAAAGTAAAAAACATTTCCAGGTTAAATGAAGGCTTTGAGAAGAAAAATATTCTAAACAGTGTATGAATCTATGGAACATTAAAATTAAAGAAAAGAAAAAACTAGCGAATCTAATTAAAAAACAAGAAATTTCAGTATTTCTCGAATTTCTAGCCTAAAGAATGCTAAGCCGCTAATGCTTGATTGATACAATTCAACATATTACTTATAATTGATCATTTTGTGAGCAGAACTAACCTACATGATGACATCCATGATTGAATCAATTCAAAAGAAATTTCTTACTTAGTAAAATAATTATAGAAATAAAGTGTTCAAAGCCGCCAACCACAAAAGTTACCCCGAAAATTTTTCACACAACACGTAATTTGATAGATACTACTGTAATTCTCAAAATTTTTTGTTCTAGGAAAAGTACTTGTTAATATTTTCACCAGAAAAAATTTGCTGAATTCTACAGCTGACATGAAATCTGAAGGTACACTACTAATCTTCCCTGAGAGTTGACAGAAGAACTTTGCATTTAACTTGCGTAACACAGTTGTCATTAAGAAAAAAAGCAATTTAAAAATACAGAAGGAACTAATTTTTTTACAAATTCTCAATCAAATAAAGCAAAAAATTAATTAAAAAAATTAACTAGACTATACATGAGGCAGCAAAAACGTATCACTCCAAGGAAGTATTTTTTCGTAGATAGAAAAGAATAAAAAACAAACAAGCCTTCAAAACTGATATTTAAAAATTATTTAGTGATAACATTGTCATAACTTCAGCATTGATAATCACTGGTCATTGATTCTGCTCTAAAAGTATCTAATCTTTGTCATCAACTAATTTTAAAAATCCATTCAATGACTTTCAAAAAAGAGTAAACACACGCATTATAAACTGAAACATGGAGGTGCTGTATATCATACTCAAATGATAATAAGCTATATTTAGAATTTGAAGACGAAAAAAAGAAAAAACTAACCGGACATTAATACCATGATGCTTGAAAAAAATACAAGAAAAACAGACAAGAAACAATCACTCGATATTTAAAAATGTGAGAAATATTATGTATAAATGACTGTAAAAACAGTGTAAGGCCATATGTATTTAATTACACAAATATTAAATGAACCGCAAATAAACTTGCATGTACATATGCTGAAAATTATATAAACTTTGAGTATAAAAATTCAAATGTGTATCATAAGAATTCATAAAAGTTTATAAGCGGCTCATGCATAAATTGATAATATGGATAAGTCGTAGCAGAAATAGAAACCGTACTGCAATACTCCATTACAAAATTTTTACAAAAAAGTACGCAGCTTCAAAAGTAACTTTGTTTGTTTTGTTTTCCAAGGAAAGAAGCAAAACGATAATGTGAGTTAAAATAACTTCATGAATGCAAGTGATAAGTGATATCACGACGATAATGCTGTAGCTTCCTAAAAATTAATACATTATAAGTCCAAAATCTTGCATAGTTCATTGAAATATGCGTATGAGCTTAATTTTTTCTACCGAATATTTTAATTCATATACTAAATGCAGATTTACTGTTGCAAAGTGCTAAATTGTGAAAAAATTTGATGTTCTACCAGGTATTTGTATTCTAGTTGTAGACTACTCATTTGAAAAATTTTTTCATTACTGATATTGTATTTCTTCTGCAGAAAAATATAAATGCACGAGAACGAACAAGCTCACAATCTGAGATGTTAATTTCAATGAAAATGTAACATGATGGAAAAAAATCAGAAGCACAAATTTCAATAGTGACAATAATTAAAAACTTGCATAAGAGTGAATAAACTGAAGCATGAATTTGAGCAGTACCTGTTTTAGCAAAGTTTTTTGCATATCAGTAAAAGATTGGCATGTTCCCGCGACCATTTCTTCGTCTTCCCCTCCACCTTCAACACCTGCAGTGGCAACTCCACCATCTTCCTTTCCACCTGGAAGCGTTGAGTTGCTTACATCGTGAGCATCAGTAAGACCAACAGCACCTCCATTTCGTGGTGTTGTTGATACTGGAGTTGAAATTCGATTTCCATTCATCGCCTAAAAACACAAAATTCGAAAAAAATTGAACTTGAGAGTACTTTGAAAGCAATACAAGTTTTTCCTGCAATTGTATTCTTACTTTTTTTCCACTACAAAAATTCAATGTAAAAAAGAATAAAACAAGCATACAAAAGTTATTTTGAACATAAAACTGGACAGAAATTCCATCGTCTTTTGTAAATGATGGAAGCTGCAACACCTTTCAACCATTACTGCCTTAATTTGAGCTTTTAAAGAAAGATGGTGACTAAAATAAATGAATAGAATTAGATACTAATAATAATGTACCTGCAGCCAGTTGAGTACAATTTGATTACTCTGAGTAATATTTGCCGGTAACTGTGAATCATTCAGTGAAACACTAGAGAGGGCAAGAAGTGATGTAGCATCTGCAAGCGCTGATGACGATGAAGTAGCTATCTTGCCTGAACTGTCCACTGCTACAATGACTATCAATAACAGAATGAATTATTTATTCAAAAATTTATATTTCTCGCTATGTTACGCAAATCTTATCATGATTCACAATTTTAGGACCTTTAAAATGCAAACAACATTCTCATGTTTCCGTGAAAATATGAGAGAAAAAATCTTGATTATGCATGAAATATTGACAACAATGATTTCTTGATAAAAGTTAATGTTTCATAAATAATAATTATAACAGACTGTTAGTGACATCAATCGAAGAAAGCTGTTGGTTATTTTCTCGATTTTGATTACTAGCCACAACACACTTTCGCATATGCTTTTCGAGAGTTGAGTGCACAGAAAATGGCATTTGACAAATATTGCAGTGGTAAGTTTCCTGCACAAAGATTTGATTTTTGAAAATATTTTAAATAGTTTAGACTACCAGTTAATCAATTTAAACTCATAACTCGTTACAGTTATACTGATTTTTTATATCAACAAAATGAACTTGAGCTAGAAATAAATGAAATTGAATACAAACTTTTCCTTGCTGACCATGAGTGCGCATGTGTCGAGTTAATTTACTACTTTGAGCACAAGCGTAAGAGCATAAGCGACATTTGTACGGCTTTTCTCCAGTATGACTTCGCAAATGCACAATCAAATTGGAACGATTCGTAAAAACCTTGAACAAAAGTGTCAAATTATAATTTAAACTTGCAATCTCAATATCATTTTAAAATGTTTACTTACAAAGAAATACACCACACGCTTTTTTTGTTCAATACAAAAAAAAAATGGAATTTAAAATGACATTTTAACAATACCTAAAAATAAAACGAATGGAACTATAAACTTACATATACCTGTCTCTAAAAATTCTCTTCATCGTTCATGAGTTAAAATAATGGTATCATCAATCCCAAACATTTATCCAAAAAACTACCAACCTTACAACAAAATGTACATCGATCCTTTTTAGCCGTTGTATCACGACGAGCTGCAGGCTCAGCGAATGCCAAATCATCATCATCCACAACATTCAACATGGTAGATTTAGTATCTTCAGTACTAAAACAAATGGACATGAGTGCACTGAAACGACAACATGTTAAAAAAAGAGTCAGCACAGGTTTTAAACATTTTTTGAAACTATTTAGAAAAATTTACTTCGATTTCAACAAGACTGTAGAGATAATAGAAATGTAGGCTATAAATTTTCATCTCAACAGTTAAAGTCACTACCAATATCTTGGGAAATGAATTACTCCCAAAACAATTACGTAGTATTCTTTACGAATTTTCGTATGCTGTATGCTTCTTCATCCATTAACGAAGCATAATAAAACTGACGATATGAAAGTTAAGAAACAATCTTAATGAAAGTAATCAAGTATAAAACAGGAATATAAAAATAACTAAAAATTAGATAACCTCTCATCATTATGTCCATCGAGCCTTGATAACTTTTGTGGTGGAGCTACAGATGGTATCGATGGCGACATAGTTTCGGAACCATTATTAGATGATCGATGTCTTTTTCCTACAAGTGCAGTCATACCATTCCAAGGTATTTGTTTAAAATTTGGACTTGACAGCTGATCATGTACTGAAACATCGGATCTACCAAAGGTACTCAGTCCCAATGAATGTGTTACTGAATTAGGTGCCACAGGTGATGGTTCTTCAGGACTGCTGCAAATATGCATTAATTGTGTTTAGGCTCATTTAAATAATGAAATATTATTTGATTTTTTTTGCAATTGTATTCACGCAACTTTAACCTCAAGTAAAAAAATACTTGTGTTCTTAATGTATGCTTCACATCCAAGACATTTTAATACATTTTAATCATGAAACTACCTAGTAATTTTCGGAACAGCATTGAAAGCACTTCCAGTGTTATTATTTGAAGTAACTGAAGAACTTCCAGTATTAAGCAAATAGGATGCAGCATTATTTAAGGAAAATTGTGCATAATATTCTTGCATCAAAGCTAGCATATTCGGTATATTGGGTTGCATCCATAAATTCTATAAATCCAATTATGTACTGAAAAATATAGGAAATATCAACTATATTGAATGAATCAATTTAAAGTGGAATACTTTTTCTATTTCTACACTTCAAACTAATTCTGATTACGACTTTTAGTTATGATTGCATTTTTTGAAACCTGTAATGAAGGTTGTTGATGTTGACGCTTTTGTTGGTGTTGTTGTTGTTGCTGTAATGCAACTGCAGCTAATGTAGCAGCTGTAAGGGAATTAGAAACATTACTGAGAGTCGATCCTGGAAGAAATGCTGTAGCAGCAGATGCAGAATGCTCTTCATCTGTATTTTCCGAAACTAGCGTCCTAAAACTGATCTTATTTTTTTTCCAAATTTCTGACAAGAACTATCATAAACTGCATATTTAATAGTGAATAATGAATGAATCAAAACATGTCAAACTAAACATACTTTTTCATATTCGAAGTTTTAAAATGTTCATTACTTCTATTCGATACTACACTGGAACTCATTACATGACGTAAATCAGTCAAAGGCTCTCCTAAAATGAACAGTTTACATTATTTTGCTTCAAGTAACTAATACAAGAATATTTTAATTTGTTTATCATTTTAAAAATCTTCCTTCTGTATTTACTTCTATATAATATTGTTCTAATGAATTAAGTAATTCTGCATCTTTATATATAATTTGTTTAGCATCACTACTAACTCTGCCGTTACAAATACAGAATATTTTAAAAGTAAAATTAACTTTTTTGCATAAACTTTTCAAACAAACCTGCTTTCTCGGCTATTTCTCTCAGCCGCTCGGAGCAAAATGCATTCAGACTAAATCCACCTCTACCTAAATAAGAAATAAGTAATAAAACTAAGAAATATTACATATTATTGACATTAGCGTTTGAAAAAGTGACTGAAGTCAAGATTACAATTCACTGATTTTTGAAAGTTAAAGATGAAGTATTAGATAGAAATTAGAACGTACTGACACCAACCATTTAGCTTACTTTTCGCAGCCGTAGTATTGAAGGGACTTGTAAATGTAAGAGTTGGTGGAGGCATTGATGTTCTTGGTGTTAACAGTGATGATGATGTTGACGTTAATGATGAGGTAATTACCGACGATTTTGGCAGTGCACTGCGAGGCATACATGGCATTTCTTCCTAGTATATTTATATCGAAATTACAAGTACAGGACAAGAAAATACAAACATTAAGCATTATTAAAAAACATGAGGTAAATAAAAAAATTAAGCATTATGTGCTATATGGCGCTCATAATGTGGAAAAATAAACCGAAATGGAATAAGAAGAGCATACCTCACAGATACGAAGGCCATGAGCAAAGAAAACATGCTTAAGAAGGCCCCAAACATCGGCACATACGTGCTTACAAGAATGACACGTCAATGCTCCTCCAACTAATAATGAACTCTCACTCTGTTTCACATCTGCAAACATTAAAATAACATAAAAATGATTACAGCAACTCTTCAATTAATTATATTCCATTACCTAAAAGGAAATAAAGCTCTATTAGACCAGATCAAAATCATAAAGCCTTCACTAGACATAGTCATTCAAATTAAAATTGCTCTTCGTATTTCACTACTGTCAGTGCAGAAAGATACCATTAGCTAATATCAAAGTTTATTCCAATTCGTTTACTTTTACTTATGTAAACAGTAAACAAATCAGCTATTTTTCAGGTTCTTTCACCGCAAAGACTTGAAAAATATGCAAATTATTAAACTGCCTTATTTGTCAATAAAGCGAAAACTTCATAAGCTGCAATACAGAAAATATGTGCTATCAGAATAATCAGCAATCATATTCCTACAGATCTTGATTGTTTAAGAACTAAGTATTTGAATCTCTTAAACTAATAATTCCAACCGATTATTAGCTAATTACTTTCATGTAACTTGTTCTTAATCTTAAAACAAATAATTAAAAAATGAATTATATGGAAGAGACCAGAAGCTGAAGATAACTTTTTACATCTGTATTCAAACACTTTCTATTGTTTACGGCAGTAATTCTGTACAAAAACAAATTGACTGAAAAAAACTCACTGATCAAAAAAATATAAAATTGCTCAGAATTATATTTTTACATATTGTTATCAAAAACAAGGCAAGTATTTTCATCTAATGATCTCTTTTTACTTGGATATAAAATGTTTTCAGTGAATTATAATCGTTAAGTTAGCAAAAAGATCTAGGTACTTTGCTTTTTAAACAACCTCTTTAGTAATCTAAATCTTTTTATCCCTTCTCCCTATTTTAAAAATTTTTTTCATAATTCATAATCCTCTCATAAAATGGCAACGGCACGCCGATACTGCTAAAACACGTGAATCACTTTAAATCACTTTACACGGACTACAAAGTCAAATCTTTCCATGTTTGTCACGTAAAAAATTTATTCAGAAAATGACAATGACAAAGAGCACGCTAGCTGTTACTGTTAGCTGATTGTTTCTTCTGTGTCTACATCATAAAATTTTCGGAATAATTAGCCCATTTACAAAGATAAAGAGTGATCAGAAACACTTTAACTCAGTTTCTCAACTATGTAAATTTGTTTAGTGCATTATACTAGCTGCTGTGAATCAGAAACGACAATTATTATTGGTCACTGCATGTAACCGGAATACCTTTAACAGAGCATAATCCTCAGAATCAGAATCCAAAATTAACTAATACTTATACTGATATAATGATGTATGGCATCAGTGCACTAACATGTACCACCATCTTCTTGTAGTATTCAATTTAGGTACAATAAGTTAATCAATCTGAACAAAAAATTATCACTTTACTGCCACAATTTTTAGTAAATTTCTTCGTTTTCTAATCTTAAAAATATGTGAATAATTAAAAGTAAAGTGAAATAAAGTAAATTGCAATGTCTTTTTTCTATTTTTTACTGCCCAAACAAATGCAATAACCGTTTATCACTGACTGTACCATAATATCAGGTTTGCAAATTAATCATCGCAGCACTATTGCACGCATCCATCGCATCATCATAATAGAGTTAGTACTCGCCACTAGAGAGAATGCATCAGAGTAAACCTGTTCTAGCACTATTATTACCTAATCATGGCTAATCACAGGCCCCATCTAATCAGTTGATCGAAATTCACCTGAATCTAAGCTAAAAAAATCTGAGAATTCAGATATCTAGCTAATGAAAAGTTCTTGCCACAATTATTTTCATAATTTTCCGCAAAGAAATGAAGCAAAATTTTTTGCACTTTCATTTTTATTTCATCTTTATTTTAGTTTACTTTCACCTTCTACCGGTCTCATTTCAAGTTTTCGACTGAATGAGCGGAAAATAAAATAATCAATTAGAGTAACTACAGTACTACCTAAGTATTACTAACGATCATGCCAATGCTTCCAAGCAATGACAGCGAGTTCTGTGCTTTTTTTAATTGTTAAAATTTCATTTAAGAACCTGTCCAGAACAGTTCTATCGGCTAAGTTATGTCTCATCAAACTTTCTCTACTCAAATGCGTAACCACCTAAAAAAATGACTAAACTTCAATAGAACATACTGTATCCTTTAAATGTTACTTACTAGTTACTACTCCAACTTTAACAAAAATAATGTACCTATATTTTCCAATTGTCCCCTTTTCTTCAAATTTAAATTTTTTTACTAAAATGATAGCAGTTCTTTCTTGAAATAAAGTACTGTAAGCAGTAAAGCATAATTGGACTAATTTTTGCATAATTTTACACGACATCAATAAGTGAAATTATATCTCACTTATAAGTTTCATAGTAAAGAAAAATATAGCTAATCAAAACTCTCTGCCAAAAACTCAAAATACTCAATATAAAAAATAAAGGTTAGAAACACTGCTTAAGTAAGATTACTTTTAGCAATATTTTTGCTAAGTTTAGTCAAATAGAAGTATTTCCGTTGCATGAAAGTAAAAAAAAAGAAGATATATTCTTGCATTAGGATAAATTAAACTTATAAAGATAATGCTATTAAATTCTTTTAGCAGAAAAGAAGCAGAAGCATTTCATTTTGTTGTTTACAGCATAACTTTAAACATTTATCAGCAGGTCATTTTCCCCTTCTTGCATTTTGCAATTTCTCGTTTGTTGTAGACACAACTTTCTTCGCTAAAAGAAATTTCTCAAAATTATAAATTTCAAAAATTTTTTCAATTTATTTATCTGCAATCACTGACTAACATTTCCTTCTCCTATACTTCTATTTTACCAAACAAGATCTATTTTCAAAAGCATTAAGTAATTAGTCACTACTATAGATTGATAAAATTATTAAAAGCCAATCAAGCACAACTTCCCTAATTTCTTTTAGATATTAATTACTCTAGAAAATCTTTCATTAGCTAAATGTATTCAACTAAATATTTTATTTCTTCCAGAACTAATCTTTCACGTGTTGTTCTTTAAATATTCACTCATTTTCTTTGATAACTTGTGAAATTATGCACAATGGATGTCTAAAAATGACCTCCGCACTCTTCCATTAACAACAAGATATTCATAGATATTTCTTTCAGCTTTTATAACGTATGCAAATTTTAGAGACAGAACATTAATAGTACCGTTTATTTTTCTGAAAAATACCGAAAGATAAAAAGAATGAAATAAAACAATGGGAAATATTTCAAAGAAATGGAGAATGAAATATTTACCAAGATCACCTACTAATTACCTACCTACATCTGAATTTCCTCTCTTCACAAATAATTAAATGCAGAAAAATATTTGCATAATGTTGTAATTCATCAAGATACTACAAAGATAAAATGCTGACGACAGTAAAGTGTTCGCATAATTACCTAAGGTATCAGTATCTGTGGTAGCATCAATCGTATTGTTGTGTTTCCGTTGACTCTCATTAAATGTCGATATAAGTGATACATTGTGATCATTTGAAGATGATGACGGAACACAACGAGGACATGAGTCGTTCAATTCCTGTAAACAATTAATAGTGAAAATTGTTATCAATTAAAAATATGCAAAATATGAAAACTATATGATTATGAACAAAAATGAATAATCTATGTTGCTAAAAATTGAACTATACTTTCTACATTTTATATATACAAAGAGCATAAATTTCGATTATGCACTGTAAATTAATTGACTGAATGGTACGCTGCTTACTGTGGAAGAATGGTAGCGAACTAGACGCCGTCGTCGACCAGGTCTAAGAGTGTCGCTTGATGGATGGGTTGGTGATATGTCAGCAAGCAGTTCATCTAATGGTGTCTGCTTACCATCACACCGTGAAATCTTTAACAATACTTGAAAACTTCATGTAATTATATAAGCTGAACATATCTGTGCATAATTTTTATATTCATTCAAATTATTAGTATTATTACTTCTAATTTTGATAAATTAGACCAAATTTTAACTTAATTCATTCAAACCTTATGCTCAACAAATTCCACAAACGTTGACAAAGAAAATTCTGCATGACAATCACCGCAAACTATGCGATCATATTGAACAGAACTATTTCTTGACTGTGGTGCAGCAACAACATCACTACAACGTTCACTAGGTGAGGCTTCTTCATCATCATGTAGTGTCGTAACATCTTTCAACTCCTGTTCAACATCTGCATACGAATCTATACCACTATCGGTAGATGTCAACAGTACACTTCCTTAATTCATCTTTTTATTTAAAAAATACTTATTTTAAATTTATCAATCATTAATCATTTTAAAGTATTTAATATAACAATTACGATCTATAAGTACCTATCATGCACTCCCTCACCTTCGGAAATAATAACCAGTACTACGTTAAACTTAAAGCTTAGCAGCAAAGTAAGGAACCGAAAACTCACTATCGGATTTAACCATAGCAGTAGTAGATACAAGCGGTTGAGGCACATCATCCAAAACTTTCATCAATTCTGATGCATTCCTAACATTACTTGCAGAGATAGTCATTCTTGAACTTGTGGCTGCTATACTTTTACAGCCTGCAGTTTGCCCGTGCTCTTCGTGGTTATCTGATTTGATGTTTACTGCAGTAATTACAGTCTCTCCACGCTCTGCTTTTTCGGATTTTGTATCATTTTCAGCATCATTCACCACACTTTCTTTAATTATTAACGTATTTGAAGCCGATCGATGTGATGCAGGTTTACGTCCACGCCTGTTTCAGTCACTTTATTCAAACTACTTGCATTCGCGAATATAATGATGGATATAATTAAAACATAAATTCCGGTAAACCATGATTCTTACTTATTTGCAAGATGTTAAACAAGACAAAAATATTAAGTTAAATATACTAAAAAATATTTAGCTACAAAAAATTGAACAAGACATGGACTAGTTCGAAATAATTCATCCAGGGAAAAAATAAACAAGCATGGAAACAAACACCACACAAAATAAGGAAGTGATGAAACATAAGCAAATCTCTACCAAGTCTAGTAGAATGATTACAATTAACTCATTTACTTGAATTGAGCAAAGAGATAAAATAGATATTTCTAGTTTCTTTCGTAGCTTTCTGATTAAAAAAATACTAAAATAAATGAAAATACAAAAAAGTGGACATCATTTTAAGGCTTAAATTTTATAATATTAAGCCATTTTAAAAGATTATTGTCATTACAATAAAAGTAGCATGTGAAATAGTCAAAGATATAAGATATATTTTAAAAAATGTGACTTGGATGAAAAAAAAATTGGCAATACTTGATTTTTAATGCGGTAAAAGGTTCAAAAAATAACGAAATACGCAAAAAACAAAAAGTGATAGAAAGACTTATTTACCTCTTGGGCTCATTTGCTACCGATGCAATATCAACTGCTGAATGAGGCGCTGACGATGTCTTAGAAGTGGTAGCTGTTGCGGTAGAAGTAGGAATATCATTATTTTTAGGAATTTTAGAACAATTACGAAGGCCACTGCTCATCAAGGCGAACAAGTACGTCAAATACAGAGAGCTGGCCAGTCAGTAGTAATAGCAGTTAGAGTCAGACAAAATGATACTTCTGTCAACTTATGCAAATTTTGGCAAAATCAAGAATTGTACAAATTTTTTACAGCAAAATAAGGAAGACAAAAAAGGACCAGTCTTACAACCGGAAAATAATATTGTGAATAACTAGCAAATAAATGTTATAGTAAAAATATTCCGTATGAGATTCGTTGAAAAAGTAATAAATGTGGTCCGAAAAAAATTTAAAAAAAGCAAAGATAACTTTGCTGGCACTCGGATACGCCACGATACACCGGGATGTATTTAACAAAAACCTGTGAAAAAGTTTCATTAAAATTGAAGCTTGAATAATTGTTGAAAAACGTGAAATATCTCGAGGAAAAGAATGATTTGCGCTTTCATTACAATATCATACACAGAAATCTTGATGAGAATAAAACGTCTGTCTGATTCAGGAGGATTATGAATGTTTAACGTTTATGAATGCTGCATTTAGTACTGAATAATTTCTAATCTTATTTCAAATAAATCAGTCAAGTTGTGGCAGGAGGCAAAAAACAGACAATCATAAAAACTAATATTGTAGCATGTAGTGAGTCCTGAGAATCTATCAAAAAACGACTTTACTTAAATTAAACGGCCAGGTTAGTAACAACTGCGCATAACTGATTTCGTTTATCACACCAGATAATAAATAAGTATATTATGAAGTGAATACAGTTTGTTTCAAAATATTTTGCAATGAAATGATCAATTATGCATGGCAATTAATGAAATAATATTAAAGAGTAGAAAAAAAGTAGCTGTATAATGTATTTAAGAAAAAAAGAATCAAAAAAGAAGCATTTTTTGAAGGGAAACTAAATTTTGTCCTTTTTTATCAGCAGAACAAAAAAACGATATGAATGCTATCTGTGGGCATCGTAAGAGAAACTTACTCAGACCAATGAAGATGCAAAGATTGCAACACTTTTTTCAGGATAAAATATTTTTGGTTGCAAATTATCAGTATTCATCAGCAGAGTTAGATAATTCATTATATACTATGAATAAACCAGCTAGCACATATATTACTTGTAATTATGATTTAATGATTGATTTATAAGTCAGACAAAACCAATAAAATTCATGATCACTCTTCTACAAACTTCACGATTGCCATTTTAAAAGATGTCAGTATTTATTTATAACAAGCAAGCTACCATAAGAACAAGAAATGACCTAGAAGTAAAGATGGTGACGATTCTTTGATGATAATGATGAATACTGCATGAATAATAGCATATGAAGAAAAGCAACAATCAGCAAACTGGAAGAAAGAACTTGTTCCTAGCAATCATGCAAGCAGAAAACAGGAACGAAAAAAATCTTACTTGTGCTTTTCAAACAAATTTTATAGAATAGCCCAGACAGTTCTATTGTAACTAGCTAAGTCAAGAAAAATGCCACTAAGATGCTATAAAGCAACAATTCTTGAAATTTTATGACTAAAATCATTTTTAAAGTGAAGTAAAGCCACTAATTTAATGCAAATATCTCAGAAATTGTGAGGGCTAACTATTACTACTATTACCATCATTATTATTTCACGTTCGAAAATAATATCTCTATTACTACTACTATTATCATTTCACGCGTTCGAAAATAAGCAACGACGAGCACTGATAGATAGAGTTGTTGTTAATCAACGACTGATTGCAAGAGATTTATTTATTTTCAAGAGAAAAAATACGTTGAACTGACGATGTTAAAGCAATCATAGATAGACTAAATGTAAGTACTACTAAAATTTGCCGCCATGATTCAATCCTCTACTATCTGAAATTCCAACTGTGCTGTAAAAATGAGTGCACTTTAATTTCAAAAACAGCTTTTTTTGCTTTACAGCAGAATTTCCCAAATGATAGATGAATAGATGGACAGATAGATAGTTAGGTAGATAAATAGATAGATAACATTCAGAATATCTTCATAAAGTATATTACAAGACACTGTTTACTGGTTAAGTGAATATATGAACAACATGTGTATAATAATAACAAATTGTCTGCAACTTTTCGAATATTTGCATAAAATCCATATAAACTAAAAATAATTAGATCGACTTTAATCAAATTTAACCTTTAAAAAACAGTATTATGCGAAATAATTAATTTGTGCCTATAATATTCACTCAGATTCATAATTTTTCATAACTTTTCCAATAATATCACATCAACAATGATAACTTCATTCCTTTCAAATAATTCCCTTATTTACCTATGGAAAGAGAGTAGGCGTGGTGCTGGTGTAACTTTTACTTTCCAGGCTGACTTTCAAAATTTACAAAAGTTTACATCAAACGGAGTAATTTACCATGTCCTGAAGCTTATTACCTATTAACAATTAACTAAGCTTACTTGTTTGCCACACTCATTCAATTATTACTTTTGTTGCGAAGCTCTTAAAAGTGGCTACGACTTTCAGAACGTCTTTTAATTACAATAGATCTCACGTATAGTAAGTGCTGCTATTACTAGACAGACCATTTTTATCACTACTCATATTTCGATATTTCAAGCACACATACGTATCAGACACATACACATAAATGCTCACACATGTAATTACATATGCATACAATTTAATGCACATTGCAATAAATGTAAGAATCAAAAGTGAATACAAAAATATTTTCAAATGAATGAATGAATGAATGAATGAAAGTGAAGAGGGGAGGATGTGTACAGGCGTAAAAGCAAAACGCTAGCAGGTGGCTGCTGATGAACAACGAGGCTTCCCCCGTTCTCGCTCGGTCCAAAAACATCCCATACTTTCCACCCGATACATTCTGCACTACTGCAGGCTACGGCTTACTTCTGCTTTTTTTCACATCGAAAACAAACACACACACATATGTATCCATGCAATCATAACAAACGATAAGAACTAGATTAACACTAACTTTCTACATTTATCATTCTGAATTTGCATAGCTTTAATACGCAGCTCAAAATCATCCAATCGTTGTATAAACAAGAAGTGAAGGATGTGCACTTAGAATGAGAATATCTACCACTGAGATGGCATTCAATAATATAACTCACATCAGCTATACTACATCAACAGTGCAGCAATTCCGAAATCGACTATCCATAAATATTAACAGATGGTTAGAAACCACGGAAGAAACTTGAACGTCAATTAAATACAATTATATCCACATGAATTACTTTACCACTGTAAAAATAAAACTTTTAAGCAGAGTAAAAGAACGAAGATGTGGTATATGCAAATTTCTGAAACTAAACTGACGCCATAAGAAATTAATTAAGAAAGTATCGCTGGGCAGAGAGAAATTGAAAGTTACGAAATTGACATCTGTTGCGATGACAAGGTGAGTTGAAACGTTTCCATCTTTAATAATACTAGAAACATAGGAAACGATAAATGGACAGATAAAAGAATTGAATTAAAATCGTAACCTTGCTTTCAGGTCAGAGGTTACAGTTAAGGTCAAATAACGGGCCAACCAGCACTTACTGCTTCTTACACACTACTGTCTTCAACATCAACAACTTTCTAGCAACGCATAATCGCATAAAATCAGTTTTATGAAAAACTCGAATTGAACATGACCAGTGTTAAATCTGATTGAAACTGCGCTAACAATCAATCACATTCCAATCATAATTTGTTTCATCCAGGTAATCTCATGTATGATATGAAACTTTTTTATCAATATTTCTTTCACAAATACAGAAATGTAGCAATATCTCTTTGAGATCAGTCAAAAAGACTGTTTTTGTGCCAAGTCATTTCAGAAATTTCCACGTCACAGCTTTCAGCAAAATCTGTTAATAATCAAGTTCAATTTCAAGTTTGATCAATTGACAACGTTTTACCTGTTTGAATAAAAACTGGTAGCAATTATGCATATGGGATATTAAGTAAAATGGTTGGCGAGAAAATTAAAAGTAAGCCTAGCAGCAAAGCAACTTCTCCAGCAGTAGTAGACGTTATTTTCGTGAAAAATTTCACAACAACACAGACAGACATGCACAACACCTATCATCACAGCGCTACTACCACTAAACTCAAACATTATAGAAAATGCAAATAACAACCAGCCGATGACGCTACCACTCGACCAAACATCAGCCCGCAGGCGGCTCAAACAATTTACTCAGTGCCCCAACATCCCATTCCATGGATAAGTAAGTAAGTAAGTAAGTAATCAATTATCAAGTAATCAAATACGTGAGTGAATACGATCCAAATTACAGCACTCTTATCTGTGTTTTCTTTTCATATATGTGAGTAAACAGCTCGTATCACTCAGAATCTAAATCATAAATTACCTAGCATTTATTTCACCTCTACAAAAAGAACTAATTCACAACAATTCAAATGCAAGGAAAGATTATAGAAGCGCATCATGCGATTCCATTTTAAAAAATACACATGTTTTTTCTCCAAAAAGAATAAGATATTTGTTGATTTGATTTCAACTTATTTGAAGCCTTCTGCTGCTTCATTCAGAAGCATAGAGCAAAGAAAACAGCAGTAACACATTAATAATTTGTTATATTTGTGCAGGTATTTACGGATATTCCAAAGTAACAAAAGTCAGCCTGTCTCGTTTTTACTACATGTTTATTTTGCAAATAAGCAGTAAATTGGGGAGGAAAATATATAGTCAGACAAATTATTATTTCAATTTCAAGACTGCATGATAACAAATAGAACTAAGCATGAAGATATGCATGCAGTGGATGCCCGCTTATGTGCTTGCTCCAATACTTATTATCAAACTTAATCTATTTTCAGTCATCCTTTTATTAATTAGATAAGTGATTAACATTACTATCAATAAAGTATATACTACTACACCAATAATAACAATTATAGTAATCATAATATTGATAACAGTAGTAACAATGATAAGAACAATCATAATGAAAGTAATATCAACAACATTTGACAGAAAACTT